TAATTTATTTTAACTATTATTTTTTTTTATAGAAAACTAAATAACTGTAATTCAAGTGCGGTTCTTGCATTTTATAATTATGACGTAAAACTGGTCAATTCTAAAAAAAAACAAAATCCAAATAAAAAACCCATGTACAGAGTGCATGGTGTTCAAATTCGAAGATCAAAAGTTTTTACAAGAGATAAACGTCAATTTTTTATAACTCATAACGTTTAGTTTCAAAATGGTTTGATAAAAATAAAGTAAATAACTTAAAATAATATTTATAGTATTGTATTTAATAGGTATCTCTTAGAATAACTTTTTTGGAGAAGGGGCAAAATCTGGTCATAATTGATGTTTTCTTATCTGTGTATAAGTATTTTATTTCATCGATTATTGATCTGTCATATTTATAAAAACCATTTATTCTTACAAATGTACCAATTTATTTATTTTGATATTAATGGAAACTATCTTATATTATATAAAATTATCGTGTCACAATGTTCGTTCCCATACTCCTCAGAGACGGCTTGATCGATTCTTATGAAATTTTATATGCATATTCAGTAGGTCTGAGAATCGGCTACTAAGTTTGTATGCTCTGCAATAAGTGGTTCCGGAGTTATGGCCTCTTAAGTCAAAGTATACTAGCACGCACGATATTCAACAATTATTATACATATATATATATATATATATATATATATATATGGAGTATTAGTTTGAACGAATTTTAGTGTTGATATTTTTGATTTTTGTAACCCAAACACGAGATTTGCCACTTTTAAGTTACGACATCCGGATTTCACGGATAGCCTCGATTATCCGACTCCTTTTGTTATTATTATTGTATGTATATAACCCTAATCCCTATGTTGTAATATAGTAATAATAAATACGGCTTAGATTTTTACAGTGCATACATGCAGTGAATTCGTTTTATAACAAGCAATCTTATATTTAATATGTGTGCCATTACTCATTATCACTTTAATAGTTTTGTGATACGGTAGTCTCGCGTTGAATGAGGAAATAGGGTGATCTAGTAAATATATAATATTTTTCTCTTATATTACAATAGTATATATTTAAAAACGTCCAATAAAAACAAAAAGAACATCGAAATATTCACTTAAAGATGAAATATGGAATTTTAATTGTAAAATAAGCCCTTAAAATAGAATAAAATGGGTAAATGTTAAAATATGCACTAAATGAATTTCATTATTTTAAATCGTCATGAAACACATTTTGTGCTCATTTAGCATACCATATAATTAATCAGAATAAATATGGCAATGCATACAAATCCGAGATCTACTAATATACATATAATATTAGTAACACTATAAGGATAGACATGTAGTGCTATAAGGTTATCTGTTATTTGGCTAGCCAAATGTTATTTCCAGTGTATTAATGGTAAACTAATCACAAAAATCGTGCTGAATCTGCTGATAGTCACATAGAGGCTACAGCGCTACAAGAAAATTCTGTTTACACACAAAGTTCTTTTAGTGTGTATAAAAAAATGTATATACAAAGAGTTTACCCATAATTTATTGTTTAAGGTTAACATGATAGCTGTATTTTGAGCAGTCATATATGTATTCATAAATTTACCTTAATTTCTAATTTTTAGTTTTCAAAAACATCTCAAATGTCATTAAGGGATGTTATATTGAAAATTAATTTCCCTATGGTAGAAAAAGGTAAAAAAATCTCTAATCTTCAGTTTTTGTTTTTACAAAAAATGTCATCAATTTTATTAAAAATATAATTTCTCAATGTGCATTTAGTAAAAATAAATTGTACAATCTAATTTAAGACATCACTAAGCAAAGACATGTAAGCACTCAAATAATAAATAATAATTCATGAATGTGCCATCACAAGACAATAGTAGTTGAACCTAATATTTCAATTTTGCACATGTGAATATCCAATATATTTGATATAGAACATTTACTTAGCAACTTTTACTTAAAATTATTATTTTAGGAAATAGGGAGACTTCTAGGCATGGGCTGTTAGATGTGCCAATCAAAGGGGAAGGGGAAGGCTAGGATTGCCCACTCACCCTTGGAGCTGATTCTGGAATCTAATGAGCAATTAAATTTGAGAAACTCATTAATTAGCACTATTATATGACTTTCAAAATAATAAATTATACAAATGATATTATTATTAATAAATAATATGGCAAACAGTATTGCTAACATGAAATTTGAAGACATATTCAGTGGAGAGATTCCTACTGAAATGCAAGAAAATCTTGAAGCAGAAAAGATGAAAATGAAAAAAAAAAAAGAATGACAAAGAAAAACTGTGCAAATATCTGAAAGAATGGAGTAAGAAAAAGGAAGATATCGAATTGAAATGTTTAAAAGTAAATATAATTTTTGATTCTGAGTGGAGTTTATAGTTTTACAAAGCAAGCAATTTTGCTCCAACTTATAATGATAACAATTTTAAGAAAGAAATTTCACTGGGAAAATTGTAGGAAAACTGAGAAAATTGGTACAACATAAACATATTTTCTTAAAGAAAACATATAAAGCCTATTTAATTATTTCACTATATTATTACAAAGCATCACTATCAACTAAATTCCACTCAGTTTTGTTTTTTCGTAATCAATGGATTATTGTTGCTTACAGACATATATAAACTCCTGTCCATATCCTACCATTCCAGCTTCACACATACAGCAGATGTTTAGAAAATATGATTATAGTATTTAAGATTTTGGTTTTACTTTCATTGAAATAGATAATGAAGATGTCATAAATGTGTTATTTGTTTTAAAGTATTATTGTTTGACCAGCATTAAGATGCATCATTCTATTTTTTTGTTTTCAAAAAAATGGAAATATTTCATTATACTTTAATTTTATAAGGTATCTTATAAAATCATCATAAAATGATGAATATGAAAGTTTTATGTGCCATTCATTTATTCAATCATAATAGCATCAATGTGTTTCTACAATTATGGAAAGATTGACATAGATATTGCATTCAAATCATCAGAAGATACCTGACATTCATTGATAATCTGTTTGATATCATTAATGGGAAAACAATCAAACCATATGTTGGGAAAGGTCTATGTGGTGCAGTGACTGTTGATTCTCCTCATTAAGAATTTTGGAGAAAAGTGTTAATTATATTAGAAAGTAAGGAACATGAAACTAAAACAAAAAAAAAATGTGCCTTGTGCAGTAAATTAGATAAGAGTGATAAAGGGATGACATTTGTAATCAAAGTACAATATACTACAAAGTATTTACTTTGTTAGCATCTCCTCAAAGATAGTTTCAAGTTTATACTTTTGAGAAACTTCAATCTAGATTTTTTTGATTTGATCCGAAGTCATGGCATGCACAATATAAAACCAAAATGAGCAAATTTCATCTTTTCCTTCGTCATTGGATATTATATCAATACCCTTACTTTACATTAACATCAAGTAATTCTATTGAATTTAATTGAGAAAGTCTGATGAAGCATTGGAAATTTTTCTTTAATTATAACCTAACTGATAGCAGATAGTTACATTAGAAACTCCTATTCATAATCAGATATCACATGTTCAATTAATTTTAATATGTCACAATTATGACATCAGATGCAGTTTTAAAGGAACATATAATCAAATGTTAACTATTTAAGCTCGTAAATACGAAGATTGCAATTTAAAATATCCCATGAAAATAGCCATGAACATTTTTAGTTACATTATACACATTTTTAATCTAGCCAGACTCGTCAGAAAGTATTTGAGGCGTGTCAGGGAATTCACCGATACGCCTCTTTTGCGTTCAAAAACAAGGTTAGTTCGCCAGATAGTTCGTTTCTTTTAATGCACTTCTGTAAGTCATGAAACGACAGTAGTTCAGACCACTTTTTACTTTACGCCAATTATTTGATATAATTTTGACTTACTGTCATGTTTATTAAACAATAAATAACTGTTTATTGTGATCATCTGATTTTATTTTATTTTTTTTTTAAAGTTTCCTCAACTACTAACTATACTTCACGTTACTAGAGAAGAAATTGTTCCGCGCATGTCAACTAATGGCAACAAGGTCCCATTCTCCCACTGTGCAATTTAGTATTTAAAATAAATAGGAATGCGGGGAATCGAACGCGTTTCGGTCGAGACGCGGTTTACTTCTCTCGTGGTGCGGAGTATACTCGTACATTAAAAATTGGTGTTTTATAAAACTAAATTCATATTTTACTAAGTATTTAACAAGGTATTTAACTAGTAAGTAAGAATTATTGCATGCATATGATTTAAATTTTAAGTTAAAGTATGTATCGATGCAAATTAATATCCTCAAACTCAAAATACTATGCCATGCAGACAAGTTTATAGTATAGTATTCAACAATAAATGAAAATCTATTTCAAAATAAAAATAATCAATCAAGTTAGTGTCGTCAAAATTTGATTTAAAACTTATAAAAAAGAAAATATTACATTACACTTAATTTTTTATTTTTGACTAAATATGACCTAGCTCACAATTGGCTCAAATGTTTTGAAAATTTTACCAAATCAAGAAAAAGGGACGTGTAAATATCCGACCATATATGGTCCGGTACTCCGATCTATTATATATATTAGGCCCAAAAAAATGTATTTCTTGAATATCTTGTACGTATATTTTTTGTACGTCTATTATTCATTTTTAAATAAAAATAAAAGTAATCCATATAATATTTTATTTAATAATTTAAATTTTAAATTATTCCGAAAAAATATTTAATATGTTAGTCTCAAAAAAAAAAGAAGACGTTTAGATTTCATGTTGATATCATTTTTCAAATTATGTGTACATTTTTTTTTCATGTAAATTATATGGCATTTTTAGCAGTGCATTAATTAATTTATCATAATTAATTCATTATCAAAATCAAAAGTCAAGACAACCCCTCCCCAATCGAAAAAAATCCTGGCTACTGTATTATGTATATATAATTTCTCAAATTATTTTAACATTAATAATCAGATTCTTTCTCGATTTCTGATTCCAATTCTTGACTCACGTTTTCTTCTTGTAAAATATATTCGTCTTCAACGTCATCGTATAAATCCGTTATATCCATGTATTCAAACTCGGACCGTTTGTCGAATCGATTATAATACGCGACGGTATTAAAGAAAATGGACATCGTCTCCGGGAAGTTGCAATTTTGAGTTGACAAGTACGTAATATTAAAATTCGTTTTCAACATCGCATGAAATGCAATAGCCACGTCCAAAGTCAATGGATTGTTGTCTATTTCCATAGCGCGTAATCCTCGGTCATGTTCTAATGATCGAACGATATTTATGCCTCCGATCTCGGTTATATTACAATTGCGGACTCGAAGATTAGTAAAAGGTCTAACTCCCGACGCTAGAACGGCAGCTAAATATTTGGCACCGACATCGCCTATATTGTTCATGTCTAAACAAAATGTCAATTTTAAGCACAATAGTCCCGTTTATACAACAAACACATCGGTACATTAACATAATAAAGTATTAACGGATTATAATTATCATCCTGATTTAACATTATAAGAAGTTTGTTTGGATGGATGTTTGTTAATCCTTCATTCCAAAACTACTGAGCGGATTAAGGTGAAAAATTGCATAGGTGTTGTTCTAGTTAGGTGTAGCAGAGAAATAGCATAATATAGCCTACTATCCTCTAGAGTTCAATTTATAAAGGGGGACTGACACGGGTTTATTGATATTATTGGTACGAAAATCGAATTAATGTTATTGTCACCTTAGAACGGATGAAATTTAAAAGAAATTTAATGTAGAAAAAACAAAATAAAGATAGTAATAAGAGAAGTCAATGTAAGGACCACAATAATTGTCACGATGATACGCACAACCATGGCCTTATAACTATAAATAAATAAATATAAATAGTTATTTAGCGTTTAGCCATGCGCATAGAAATGGGTTTTTTATTTCGCTGTTAGATTGTATTTATTTTGGCGCGGGCAACGTCGGGCAGGCTATAAAAAAAATAGTAATATGTAGTAATATAATATTATACTAGCTGAATTATTTGGCTTCACATGTGTGTATTAAATATAATACACATAACTTTGTCCACAACTTAACTCGTGTGTAGTTGTTTATTTTATCTCTGTATTACTATAGTTATAGTATCGCTTTCCAGCAACATGCATAAACTATATTCATAGCTATACATCATATATTAATTTACACAATCCATAAAACAACAAGGATATTTTGTCCCATAATTTTTTATTCAATAAAAAAAAAAATCATAGGTGAAATATATCTAAAATTTTAATAAAAAAATGAGTGGTATCCTCAACAAAAACCTTCTGTCAACTTCGTGTAAAAACCTCGCTAAGAAAAAAAAACGCAAGTTAGAAAAATTGTGAATTTAAAAAGGGGCTTAGTAATTTTTTAAATTCATTAGTATAGAAATTGTTTATAATATTTTGTATTTCATGAAGTATGATCATTTAATACAATTAATTTAACTTAGCATGGTGTCTATTCATAGTATGTAGTTAAATAGTATTATGGTAGTGTTAATAAATTATAAAATGGGAATGTTAATATTCATTGTATAATTATTTGTAGTCGTAAATATGAGTAGCCACCAAGCTAAATTAAATTACTTGTATTAAATTATCACACTTCATGAAATACAAAAAATTATAAACAATTTCTATACTAATGAATTTAAAAAATTACTAAGCCTCTTTTTGAATTCACAACTTTTAACTTGCGTTTTTTTTTTTTTATTAGCGAGGTTTTTAAACCTATAGTTGACGGAGGATTTTCATTGGGATACATATATATATACAAAAAGAATAATGCTTACTCAAATTTAATTCGATTGCAGGGCAACTAGTCTTTCTTCTTTTTATCATCACAGCTGCTAACAATTCGACCCCCTCTGGGCCAATATCGTTACCGCGTAAATTCAATAGTTTTAATTTTTGTGCGGTTTTTGCGTACAAAGCGATCGATTTCGCGCCCATTGAACGTAGTTTACAATATGAAAAATCGATTTCTTCGAGACAACGGCATTCCACCAAGTACGGCGAAAGCCTAGATAACTTGGTCGAATCCAAGTCGCTGTTGGTAACGGCCAAGTTTGTGATGTATCGAGATGACTCTAACCCGCGGCCAAGTGTGTCCATGTCTTCGATATTGAACTTGTACAGGTCCGTTGTGTATCCGACGTCCATGGTGAGCGTCTTGGGACCGTACACCAGACTCACGTGCTGTACGTTTTTCAAATGATTCAACACGAGTTCGAGATCTACGTGTACCGGGTCTGCAGGCGGCATGACAGTTTTATTTTTTTTGGACTCCTCCAGTACTCGTAATTTGTGTAGTAGCGAACCGCTCGAGACGCACAATTGTTTACAATGTATGGCGGTAACGTAAGGGCTGCAGGCTCCTAACAGTGTGGCGAGTTCGTCCTCGTCCATATAACTAGGTACTATATTTTCTATGACTTCCGATACGTATTTGGTTAAGTAAAACGTTTTGTAAGAGTCGGTTTCTAGCGTGTCCCACGGTTTCCGGGCGAAATTTGGCCACGTATCGTAGAACCGCCGGCGCCAATATTCGCCGTCGGGCACGTCAATGACTAATGGGATTGGCAAACTAGTGTTAAGCGTTTCTACAAAGTACACTGTGTTCATTGACGTTATCCTCTCTAATAACGTTGTCGGGTCGTATCGTGCAAAATCGTCGGCGATAACGTCTAAACAGCGGTGCTTTAAAGATATCGGTGTATGGTTATCCCAACCGAAATCGTCAGATTTGCAGAATACATTTTCGTCGGTCGACAGCGATTCAGTAGCTATGGCATAACTACGAGATGACGGTTCAAATAGGTTAAACGTCGATTTCGGTATCGTGTGCGGTATCCACATTGTGACCCGAAAATATTAAAAACTAATTGACAATTAAAAAAGTTTAAAAACGTGTGTTAATATATAATAATACATTAAAACGATACTTTTTTTAAATTTATTTTTCTTTAGGAAAAAACTTTAGAAAAACAACTACCTAGGCAGCTATTTCCTAAAATTTGCTACATTGTAGTTATGGTAAATTTGTTATATTTATGTGTTTTTTTTTTAGATTCAGAGCGTATCAAGGGATCTATTGGTTGAACTATGAGGTATGTTTTTATTTTTTTGTTTATATTTTAGATTCCGAGTGGAGTGAAGAAGCTTATGGTTTTACAAAGATATTGTAGATCTGTCCGCAACGTTTCTACTAGATATCTTGCTCCGGTTTTTAATTGCAGCAACTATTCGAAAAGGAAATCGGACTCAGGAGGTACTGTAGAGAGGACATTTTTCAATTTTCCCAGCAAATGTGAAAAACTGGGAAAAACATGGGAAAATCGATACAACATTAAACAAATATTATTAAAAAAAACATAATGCCTATTCAGTTATTTAATATGACATATATATTGTTGAAAAAGCATCACTCTCAACTAAACTCCGGTCAGAATCTATTTTTCGTAAGCAACAGGTATCGGCCTGGATTCAATTATCAACCAATCTTCTTCTTCCTCAGAATTAAGTATAGGGTCCTCTACTTGATTTTCTACTTGGATAAACTGAAAGTATATATTTTAACAAAAGATAGTAAATATTTTTTTTAGATTCTAAGTGGTGCGAAGAAGCTTATATTTATACAAAGATGTATATTTCTCTTTCCTGTGCACAATTTTTCAACCAGCAATTGTGTTGCCATTTACAATGATAGCGTTTTTTATAAAAAGAAATCTGACAGGGGAGATACTTTAAGGAGGCAATTTTTCTGAAAGAAAATTTCACTTGGGAGGTACTTTAAGGAGGTCGTTTTTTGATTTTCTCATGAGTTTTCTCATCAAATTTTAAAAACTCAAAAAAAAATGGGAAAATATAAGAAATGTAGATATTAATTAAAATACATTACGGCATTCTTTTTTTTCTGTACACAACTTTTTTACCATCAATTTTGGTCCGATTTATAATGAAAGCAATTTTTCTGAAAAGAAAATTGACTAGACTATGACATTTCTTCTAAAAGGTAATTTTCAATAGTTAGTGTATTGGGGAAGCCATTTTTAATTTTCCAAGTGATTTTTGAATTAATCGGGAAAAACTGAGAGAAAATTATAGCTAAAGTGGCAAATATTTATGGCGGACCACGGCGTTATCGTTTTCATTGTCTTAATATATTAACAAGATGTTTTCTACCAAAAATATTGCTCCAATCAAAAATTAAAAAAAAAAACGATTTTGTACTTTACAATATTTTGCACTATTAATTCGTTTTTCTGTATCGAAAGTAGTTTTCTTAATAATCGGGACCATCCAATAAATTAAAATTGATTAATATTTACGGTAAAGTAGCGTCCAGGTTTAATATGTTCAAATTATGTTTTTTATCAGAAATATTACTCTAATCGAAAAACGACAAGAAATCGATTTTTTTTTCTTTTTGATATGTAACCATAGATTTTTGATATCTAAAGTAATATTTATAATAATTGAGAAAAATCAAAAAAAAAAATATATGATTTTTCCAAATTTCAGTACAACGATTTCATTATTCAAAATTTTCAGTCTGCAATCAGTCTATGATTTTATTTTGAATCTAATAAGAGATGATTTAACATAGTCGTCGACTTTATTAAACTTTGGCCATTTCAGAACTCATTACAGAACTCAAGTTTACCTTTGAACGACTGATGTCAACGAGTGGTCGATCATAAATGTTTACCTACCTTTCATATTATTGCATATTATTTGACATAACGTGGCTTATGTCAATGTGGATTTCCTCATTGCTCAGTTACAAAAAATTAACATTGCATTGTATCAGCAGTCGCGCGATCGGGGCATGCGGATCGGCATAGATCGGCGGGTCGCGTTCGCGATCGCGCAAGGAAAAATGTACCTATACGGTGTGTCCAACGTGAACGCGGCGAACGCGAATTTGCGGCTAAACCATATTCAGATATTTTTTATTTTTTTTTACATGCAGTGTATTTTGCAGTGAGTTGTGCAAAGGTTGTGCGGTATATTTTACACGTTTACGTTCTACTCTTTTAAAAACAAAAACAACTAAAAATGTCTTTCAGTTTACAAAAACAATTGTTAATATTGGAAAGTGCTGAAGTGAAATATTTAAAAAAAAAAAAGAAGATCAGTTTTAAATTCAATTATTTATAAGGATAGACTTGTTTTTGGTGAATTCTATCACCTGTACCCACAGTTGCGTAAAGATGACACTTCATTTAGATCTTATACTAGAATAACTACCGATACATTTTGACGTCTATTCGCTTAAACGCGCGACCAAAAACAAAATGATTTGATTTTCAAACCGTACGGCGAACCGCGCGTTGCCCGCGTTTATCGCGTACTATGGACAATCTAATCTATTTTTATATGTTTGATAAGTGTATTCACCGCGTCGCCCGCACCGCACCGCATTTACCGCGTTCACCGCGTTCACGTTGGACACAGCGTTACGCGCCAGCCGTACAACTGTTCCGCGCGATCGTCGGCGGCGGCGAGCGGCGAGCGGCTGCGCTCTCTCTGCTCTTTTGCTCGTGACGGTCAACGACTCCGCCCGTCCGTCCTGACCGGCTATATTTTCAGAGTTCCATAATAATCATCTTCGCTCCACTCATAATATAAAATAGTTGATCACCCTAATTTATAGTTTAATTATTTACATTATTTATTATTGGCACATAATTATTTAAATAAAAAATGTATGCATAAAAATAAAATTAATTCATTCATGAACGCGTCGTCTAGAGTATTATAATAAGTGTTATAAGTACTATACGATCGGTTTCTCCAATTAATACACATTATAATATAAGAAGTAAGAACAACAATACAAATATTTTGGAACAAATTAGTATTCGTTTTATGCGCGCTGTGTAACGTACCTATCTACGACTCTCTAATATTATTTTAACAAAATGTCTACACGTAAGAGCTATAATACCCTTACAAATTAGTTTTGTTAAAAAGTAAAAACCCGTTCAAGTACTACATCGACTGTAATAATTACTCAAACACAAATTACAACGCAAAGCTCCTCAACGAATTATATTGTTGATATTGGCTGCTGTTTGTATCAAAAAGTTAGTGATAAATTAAAATATGAGTTACTTACTAATGTCTGTTGAAAAGTTTACGTTTCCTATGTCGGAAAAAAGAAATTTAAAATTTTAATGGATTTAACGATTTTCGTGTTTATGTTACACTAAAATGCAAGATCCTGGATTGGTGTGTATTGGTAAATATTGCGCTATATTTTATCATAGTTGTATCGGTAAGAATGCACATCAAAAATCAGAGTTATAGGTTACAAAACCTTTCAATAAATAAAAAAATGAAATAGAAAGTTTTAACACACATAATAACACAGAGTATCATAAAAATAACGATTTTATCGCAGAACATTTTATATCCGTTTATTGCAACAAAAAGTTAGATTATTTGTCAAAACATCGATTCTGCACTAGCCAACAGAGGTGTATTTGGAAAATGTGTGCTTGGGGATAACATATTTTAGCCGCCCCTACCACTACCAAAAAAAAAAAAATAATAATAATAATAATAAACGCAAATTTAATAGACATCATTCAAATATTTTTTTGAGATTAAAGTGTAAAAACTTTTCCTCTAAACGGTATTTTTCAATTTTTAAAATAATAAAAATTTACAATCTTCTGTGTGCTTATTTAGCAACAAAAATTTTAATAATATTGTTATAATTAAGTTTGGTTATAATGTCATTTTCAATATTTAGAATTGCCAAAGCATTTAATCTTTCCTCTTTTATATTTGATCTTTAGTAAGATTTTACTCTTTTTAAAGCTGAAAAAGACCGTTCAGTGGAACAGTTAATACATGGTGTACATCAGCGTTTCCCAACCTGGGGGGCACGCCCTCTTGGGGGGGGGGTATAAACATTTCTGGGGAGACGTAAGCAGTCATTACAAAATACAGTTTTTATTTATTAAATTATTTTTATTTAGAAATGTAGGGAAAATATTAATAACGTTTTTATTTATTAAATTATTTTAATTTTAAAATGTAGGGAAAAATTAATAATTACCGGTTATTGAGTATATTGATAAAGATTACAATTATTTAGCGTTGGCCACTAATCGACTGAAAACTCACAACTTTATCTCATCGTTTTATGTCGCCACGCTGCAACACTCTTCGTAAATAAATTGGTACGATAAGAACGTTTGGTGAAAAGGTTATTATATTAGGCTTTAGTTTTATTTTGCTGTTGCACAGTTCACGTAGTGTCGTCGTAATACGTAGTGGTCGCGTGTGTATATTCGTTGAAATATTATATTAGTACAGATATACAGATATTGTGTAGAACTGTAGATAATAGCTCCCTCGAAAATAAGAATGTATATTATATCAATGATTATGTCAAGTTTGGTTTTACGTTTATTGAAAAGGATGGTCTTCATAAACCTCAGTGTGTTATTTGTCACATTGTGTTAAGTAACGATGCCCTCCGACCAAGTTTACTAGAACGACATTTGACTACATCTTATCCAATGCTAAAAGAAAAATTTAAAGAGTTTTTTGTTGCTAAAAAAAATTCTTTAAGTAAAATGAAACTTGACAATACCGGTGAATTTCAACAGAATAATGAAAAGATTGTTGAAGCTTCATACTACATCGTATTCATGGTGGCTCAGCAAAAGAAACCACACACGTTGGGTGAAACATTAATTAAGCCTAGCATACTTAGGGGGGGGCGCGAGAGTTTCGAAAATCTACAAAGGGGGCGTAGAATAAAAAAGGTTGGGGACCACTGTGTTAACACGATATTTTGTGCCAGAAAAATTGCTTTAATCCAAACATAGCTAGAGATC